ATCAGGTTCTCCTAACTAAAGATTCAGATGAAACAGAAAACTTCACGTGGACAATACTTGCGCTACCAGGTAAGAAAGATAAAATTGTCGCGAACAATTAAGACAGTGTAGTAATCTTACACCAAGTTGTCTGGCATATCTTTGGGTGCAAAGAACTGTGGCAATAACATCATTACATCTTCATCAGCCATGTCCATTAGATCATTGTTTCCTGCATGATAACAGAGATGATTTATTTTACATTATGTTATCACACCTTAAGATTTGCAATATAATGAAAACACCAAATGAATGGAGACGAATCACCTTCAAGCGAATTCACCTCCATCCATTTTCTCTTCTTATGCTGTGCAACATCTGCGTGAATAGGAATAACATGCTGGTAGTCGGCCATGCCTTCGCAATACCCACATGAATAAGAGTGAAAAAAAACTCAACACAATGGGAAATTTCAAGCCAACAGTCACTATATAAGACAAAAATTAAATGCACAAGACACACCAGAAATTGAAGAGCTAGGTTGTTACCATTGAAGCAATACGATTCAGACACACGAGCTACAATATCAGCACATAGAGTAGGGCAAGCTTCTGGTAAGCAAGCATCGCTAGTGGCAGGAACAGGTAGAGAATCTTTCTTAAGATCCTCTTTAGAAATTTTTAACAGAAAACCATTACATGAACGTTGTTCTCCCCAGGCAGGATGTGCATAAGGGTCTTCAGGGCGGAAATGCAACTCAAGCTTGTTTGACGTTGATTCTCTTGCCTACAAAGAATTCTCGAAGTGACTAAACCGTCCAGTACTTTGTCTACAAGTTTGCTACAAAATCAACTTAACAACTAGCATGCAAAGACGAATTTTACGGTTGTGATCCCTTGGATTCCCCCGAGAGTCTCCACGGCTCGGGAAATAGATGATGGGTATCCAGGATAGTGCACTACAAATGTCTCATTGCTCGGCAAGTTACCCGATATTGTTCCATTTTCGATGATTCCCATTGTTTCTTTCCAAGCTGTGATACAAAGAAACAAAAGTCCATGAGTTATTAGCTAGAGTAGTTACACGTTTCTTCCTCTAATCTGTTTTCTCTTTGAACAAGAAACAATCCCATTCCTATGTGTTTGATCTTCTACAAATTCTCAGAAACAATGACATATGAAATCATTTGGCTGGAGCAGATCGAAGCAAGAAAATATACTTCAAAAACCAAATCGAACCACGAAACCTATGAGAAAGGTAAAAGGGATCGAAAACCATGGAAGCAGAACGATGCTAGTATAAGGAAGACTCTAGTCAATACGATCCAAATACGCAGAGGCTAGTCAATACCAGAAGTAGTGGCTAGAGATAGCAAGAGATCTCGAAATCAAGTCGGAGCGGGAAGCCGGAGATCGCCGGAAGAGCATACGGCGGTGGTAGAAGAACCACCGGAGCTTTTTGCACGGAATCTGATTCCTGCACTTATGACGAAATGCTAAAACGGTGCCGTTTTCAAGATTCATATTTGGTTCGGTCGATCGATATCTCATGAGTAAAACTTGACCGACCGGTTCGATCATTTTTTTCGCTACTACCGAAAAATGTCTCTACAATTACATTTCTTCCTAAATTCAATGTTCTGACTACAAAGTAAAATATTTTGACTAAAATTAAAATAAAAATTTAGAAATCTAAGAACTTAATACTACCAGATAATAAAATTTATTAGTTGATACAAAATTAAAGATCACGAAATCCTTTTCATTTAAAAATTTCAGACATTCTTAATTTGGTGATCTTTTTAAGTTGATTTCTCCATTCCATTCCATTGATCGATGCAAGAACAGGTTTGTATCAAGCTCTCTTTTTTCTTTTTTCTTTATAAAAAAAAAATATTTAGATTTTGGTTTTTCTCAAATTTGTCACTTTATTTTTTTCTCACTCTGATTTTTCCGACTCAGAAATCGGCAAGGTCGTGACTTGTTTCTGATATTCTCCTACCCATCCGTAGATTCATCTTTTGGTTTGATCATCATGGCTGTATCGGAAAATGCTGGTGTGAAAGTGGACTCTTCTGGTCAGAATTCAGACAAGAACTCTGTTTCCGAAGCTAAGATGAAGCCTCCATGTCCTGATGATCAAAACCCTAAATCCAATTCCTCTCTTGGCCCGTCAAAGGAATCGACCCAAAATCCCAGTGAAGTGAATCTCAAGAGTGAGATTAGTCATTCGGATTCTACGTTTTCTAAGTTAAATCCGTTGGCTAAGGAATTTGTTCCTCGTTCACTGGCTCGAACCAACTCTGGAGTTTCGAGAGATAGATTATGGTTTCCTAACAATTTCGCAATGGAAGCTATTTCTCCTGAGGGGAATGGCCATTTTGGTACAAGGGTATGTATTATAGTTCTCTATGTGTTGGATTTGTTATGCTTCTGCTCAATGTTTGACCAAAATTCTTAGGACTCTTTGTGTTTTAGTGGCGAAAAGTTTTTGAAAGTTTGAGCCTTTGTGTTTAATTTGTTTGTCCTGTGATTGAATTGTTTGATCGTGTGTTGAAGAGTCTATATTGAGAAGGATTGAACAAATAAATTAGTGGGAAGTTTCAAGCTTTACATGTATATTCTATTACGTTCCTCGAGTCTTGATCAAAGTTTATTTGTTTGTGCTTATTGCTCTTGCTTTCATTTACTGTTTGGTTGACAAGAGTAATCTCCTTTTTTCGCCAACGTAGAGAAGGAATTTCGGGCAAGGAAAGCAAAGGACGAACAAGAACACAAGCTTGGCTCAGAATGAAGATGTAATCAGGAGAACTGTATATGTAGCTGACATTGATCAACAGGTCTAAAACGAGAATTATTGTCTCAAGAAATCACTTTCTCATAAGGATTCTATCATAAATAACTAAAAGCCTCTTTTATCTTTTTGTAGGTTACTGAGGAGCAGCTTGCTAGTCTCTTTCTTTCTTGTGGCCAGGTACCTAATGATCTTTTAACCTGATTGTTTTGATATCTGCAGACTCAATTTTCATACATTTTCTTGCCAATATTTGAATCTAAAGGTTGTTGATTGTCGTATATGCGGTGACAAGAAATCTAATCTCCGTTTCGCCTTCATTGAGTTCACTGATGAAGGTACGTCTACTGCGCCAACTGTCTTATGAGTTGAAATGTTCTTCTTGTGTTTATTAATCAGTGAAGTGATGTCTCAGAGGGAGCTAGGTCTGCCTTGAGAAAATCGGGTACTCTGCTTGGTTTTCATCCTATTAGGATTCTTCTTTCCAAAACAGCTATTGCGCCTGTTAACCCGAGTTTCCTTCCAACGGTAAGTTGAGATAATCATGTCTAAACCAATCGTAGGCTTGACTAGTTCTTACATTTCTGTCAACTTGGGGATCTATAGATAGTATTGAATCAATCTTATTCTTACGATCTGTTACCGAGTTTGCGTAATGCTGTTTCTTTTTTTTCCAGTCTGAGGACGAGCGGGAGAAGTGTGTGAAGACTATTTACTGTACTAACATTGATAAGAAGGTCATTTGATTTAATTTACCAATCAATACTTATGATATCATTTGGCAAAACCTCTGCTACTTTCAGTACCTGTTTGCATCAGGTTACTCAAACATTGGAGAAATGTAACTTTTCGATTCATCTTCTCTTCATTTTTTAATTACAGGTCTCTCAAATGGAGTTGGAAGCTTTCTTTAAAGCACTTTGTGGGGAGGTACAGATTTGGTTTTGACTGTGACTGCTTTGTTATACTTTTAAATATGTTGTGTTTGTCCATTTTATATCATCTATTTCCTTTTTTTAGGTTCAACATCTGAGGCTGCTTGGAGATTATCGCCGCCAAACCCGCATTGCGTTTATTGAATTCAAGCTGGTGATTTTCTCTCACCTGTTTTCGAAACCTGAGTTTTCATTATTTTTTCACTCATTTGAAAAAAGGAAATGTTGGCAACTTCATGACCTTAATACTGAAGTTTACGTAATCAGTTTATGATACTCCTGTATAAGATTTATATTTAGAAGTGTACTCATTCGCGGACAATATATGATCATCATAAATGCAATATACGCACTGCAAGAATGTGCATCGTCCACTATATATTGAATGTTTGTTTCGCCTGGTGAGGCAAGTTTGATGTACAAAAGATAAAGAGGTAAATGATTATCTTTACGTGTTTCAGGCGGAAAGTGCTATTGTTGCTCTTAATTGCAGTGGTATTGTCTTGGGAGGGCTCCCAGTAAGGTAGGCTTTACGACATTTATTTTTCTTTCCTTGCATTGTTTCCTTTCTCTTCTCCTTCTTGTGTTTAGTTTCTCGGTCATTTCGTTTACTATGTTTTTTTAGAAATCTAACCGTTTGTGTTTTGAATGAAGAGCTATTTTCATTTTTAGGTTGAAATTGTAATAGTTTTGGTTTCTGAAGGTTTACAAGTTAATAATACTTGTTTTTTCTATATGTATGAAGGATAAGCCCGTCAAAGACACCAATTAGGCCGCAGAGCTCTGATTTAACATAAAGCTATTTGCAATCCGATCTATTCAAATAGTGGGAGAGAGAGATCAAAAGGCTTTCAAAGATGCTCGAGGCGTTTTTCGGTTCATATAAAAAATCCTTATGTTTCTTTGCTTCGCAGGCTGCCCAGTATCATTGTACCCTCAGTAACTTAGGCTAAACTTCCTCCTTCTTCAGAACCAAATTGATATTTTTTTCTTTTCTTTTTCTTGAAACCCTTTTTGATTATCTTTATGGATCATTTCAAGACCCTTTTCGATGAATCTTCTCTTTCTCTCTGACTGAATCTACATATCCATATTTGTTTGGTATGAGTGAAAAGTTAATAGATTTTGGCATGAATAAGATCCTACTAAGATGCATTTTACTTGTTAGGTTCCTTTTGTGTGGTGATTTACTAGTTGAGTGTTCTGTTTACATTCTGTTTTTCCATCATAACATATTTTACAATTTTTCAACCAAAAAAAAAAAACATA